TTGCGATTTAAAGCTCTGAACGTCACAGCACCTGTAATGGACAAGCGCGTCGCTTTCCACTTTCGTATCATAAAAAAAACAAATCAAACTGGATTGAGAATGAAACAAAGAAAAAGACGTAATATAAGTAAACTCTCCGTTAGTTACACTGAACCACCTGCCATTGTTTACTTATCCAACAAAGAAAGTTTGCAATCGAGTCGAGATTCTTCCACTTGTCCATTGTTTTGTTCATTTTATTCGAAGCGGGTGCAGCTGCGACTAGCTAAGAGCGGTTACACATGGTGACTTTTAGCAGCGATAGAAACGCGACACTTGCGACTTGTTGGCGGTTGCATCGATGTAGTCGCTTACGTTGAATTATTAAACATTTGCAGCACGTTTGCATTGCGTTAGCATTGCGTTTGCATCGCGATTGCATCGCTGCTGAAGTCGCGCGTGTGTGTAAAGTAGACGAATAGCGACTGCATCGCTGCATACGAGCTGCTAAAACGCCGTGTGTAACCAACTCTGAGGTTCACAGAGCCATAGTGCTGACAACGCTCATAAGCCCTGGCGATAGCTTATTGGATCGCGACAACTCCGTTAGCCGAACAGATTGCTTTTGCTCATCCATTTAAAAACTTTACCGTCCAACTTATGAGTTCATTTATTATAGTGGAAGAAAAGTTAATTAAATTCTTTCCTAGTACGACACGCTTGACTTCACTTAAAGTTAAAATTGCTTTTTTTTATTTGAAAAAACCGTTCTGGATTTTTTCTGACAGTTACTTTTCCGGTAAGACACAAAGGTATAATTTTTCTCTACAAAAGGTTTTTCACCTTTCGGAATTAAGAAAAGTAACTCTTTAGTAACGGTGAAAAGTAATTCTTTGTATAAAATAATTTCTAAAACATTAATGGACCGAATCCCCATTCGGAATCCCCACTAAAAGACACTTTTGCGCACAGCCGGAAACATATAATGTTTTATAACATACCAATGTTTTAAGTGTATACGTGAATATTGTTAATAAGCATGTTTAAAAAAAACATTGTAATTGTAGCCTGTGGTAAATAAGATCTACACTATATGTAAATAAAATTCATGAATGGATGCACCACACCTGTACATTGGTGCACTTGATATAATAAAGCCACATGTGATCATACGTCAAATACGACGAAATAAGGGTCAACTATCAGTCAAATGGAACTGATATCACTTTTAAATATCAACACTCGTTTGCGCTGAAATCACATATTTGGAAGCTGAAATAGTACATCGCCATCAACTGACCTGTGTATACGTCTCCGTAGATTCCAAAAATATTCTATATTTATTGTAATAAAGATAATATCTCTAACTATGGAGTGCTGTTCCATTTGGTGGTGTGAGAAAAACAACAAAACATCTAATTACAAAACAAACGGAATCACATTTCATCGGTAAGTAATTAAATATTAAATTATGTCATTTTTAAAGCTTCGTCCATCATAGCAAAGCCCAAATTAAACTGGTCGATTTGAAGTGAAACAATTGACGACACCCGTCAATTGTTTCGAATTCGGGCTGGCCAATCGGAGCGCAGTTGTCACCGTAATGATATGGCAGAAGCAGAATAGTTTTCAAACAAATTAAACGACATTTCGTCTCTATTTCTGGTTATTTACTCGATGGTTCGCTTGGTATAGTAAAGCCACTTTTGATCATACGTTAAAAGTGCTTTTATCACATGACAGTCATAAAAATAATAAGAACTACATGAAACATTATTTACATGTGAAATTTGATAAATCTCCTATTTAAGGCGAGGTATTTGAATGGGACCCTACATTTTAGGAAGTGAGGTGTAAAGGCCGCCACCCGCGTCCCGCAATCTGCGCGCTTCAAATTAATAATAAATGTTAGTAGCAGTAGGCTCCTTGTGAAAACATTCGTCTAGGGATGTACTGCCACCTTACCTATTTCTGCCGCCAAGCAGTAATGTCCACATTACTGTATTCCAGTTTTGAAAGGTAAGGGTGGTGGTGAAATTACAGGCACATGGGACTTTTCTACATATGTCTCAGGGTGACGGGCGCAGTGACAGTGCCCTTCAGATCTTTGCGATTTAAAGTTCTGAGTGGCACTGCAACTGTTATGGACAGGCGTGTAGATTACCATCAGGCGGTTATTATTTAAATTAAGCTACAAGTAGACTACCATTAGCGAGAGACTGGAGTCCATACCAGGTAACTAGACTAATGTTACAGATCTCCCACCCTATACAATTCTTTTTTGTAATTAAAAGTACATACGCTATTATAGTAAACAATGTGGTGACGAGTCGAGTGTGTGTGCGTGCGTGTGTGTGGGTGTTAACATGAATATAATAAGAACAAGCGGAGAAAATTTTACACTGATCCGACGTTGACAAGCGCCAGTTGGCGACAGACGTTAAACAGCTGGGCAATTTTCATGTTTTGGGACAATTGTGAATTTAATAACTACAGGACTTCTAACTTTAACTTTAAAGTTTTAACTGGTTCCCTGTAGTGTTAAAAGAGAAATATCTCCATATAAAAATTATGTGCAAAGTTAGAAATCGATGCCTTACTTTCTCAAACTCGTATCTTATAAAGAGCGATTATTCAGGAGATGGCAAAACTTTCCGTTTATTTTAAATTTCTTATCAAGGGTGTTAATTTGGATGCATTACTTTAAGAATAGGTAAAAGCCAGTGTGTGAATATGAAGGAAAAGTTATGTGAAATCAGCCTGCACAATTTGTATATATACTTCATTTTTTGCAGTTCTGTAACTTTGTGCTTTAAGATACGAGTTTGAGAAAGTAAGGCGACAATAATTATGGAATAAAATAAAATAATGTAATTCGTAAATTATTCATTTTAATCGAGTAAAGCACATCCTAGCGTGCAACGAATTAGCACAATCTTTAGAAAATATCCTTAGGTGTGCCGTATAATTTGTATAAGACCGTTATTTTATATTAAATTACTAAACCGTTTTCATCTAGCAAAATAGTTGTTAGTGAAATTACAGGCGCACGAAACTTATGTCTCAACGTGTCGGGCGCAGTGGCAATGCCCCACAGATCTTTGTGATTTAAAGCTCAGAGTGGCACTTCAACGTATGGGACAGGTGTGTCGCTTACCACCAGGTACACGACTTGTTCGTCTCGCTACTTGTCACCTTATAAGACCTAGAATGCAAATTATGTGTTGGTAATTAATATGAGGCTAAATATAGAGGCTCGAGACTATCATAACAATAAACAATGCATCATTCAAGGGGCAGATAAACGCCTAACTCTCTATTTATTTTATTGATTAGACAATGGAACCGTATCTAAGTCAGTGAAGCTGAGATAAGGGAGGAGGGAATAATTTATCAGGAACACAGGACTGATGTTTGTGGTTTCGTAATAAGGCCTTAGAGAGGTTTGCAATGACTATTTATTTCATGTGTAAAGCATTATAGAGGTTTGAATTGCCCATTTATTTAAAACTTTATGGAGTGAAAGTCAAAGTCAAAGTTAAAGACTAATTTATTCCGCAGGTAAAACAAATTTACACTTGAAAACGTCACATTTAAGCTACTGCTATTTAAGAACGAGCTAGAAACTCTAGGGATTGCTCTTTTCAAATAAACTTAAATGCTATGGAATACACTTTGAATCAAATTTGTGTGGATTCTGGAGCCATGTCGTCTTTCCATACATCTTTATCTAACACGTAGTCTTCAATTTTGTAATATGATTTTTCGATCAAAATATTTTTAATGTAGTTTTTAAATTTATTAAACTTAGGAAATGATAAACTTAATATATGCTCCGGAATCTTATTTTAAAAACGTATACAGTTCCCCATAAAAGAGTTGTTCACCTTGGTTAAACGAAATCGTGGTACCATGAGTTTGGACTTAGCTCTAAGGTTAATATTATGGATATCTTCTTTCTTATTGAAATTATGTATATTTTTACGGGCACATAAAATATTTGAGTAAATGTACTGTGATGCCACAGTTATGATATCAGACTCCGTAAACTTTTCTCTGAGAGAAACCAGAGATGATTGCTCATATTTCACCGCATAAAATATTTAATTTTTTTTTAGGTACCATTTTCAAATACAAATTACAATTTGTTGGATTTGTTGGCAAGCCACAGACACAATAACAACATTCAACCGTGTTTTTGTTTGTTTAAGCGTATTTAAAATGCCTCCGCCGACTGCGAGTTCCGCATGCTCACAAAACATGCTCTGAAATTCCTTTTTTTTTAAGTGTTAAAGGTATGAAAGCGATTGAAATTCAGTGAAGTGTATAGACAAAACATTATGAGCGATGAAATGGTACGGAAATGAGTTAAAAGCTTTTAACGATGACCGTCAGAATGTTCATGACGAGGAACAAAGTGGGCGACGACCTTCTGTCATTACTGAAGATTTGGTGCAGAAAGTTGATGAAACTGACAATTTAATTTTATGACTTCCACGTGTTTGAAGAATCTCGGTGGATTCTACTATAACGAATGATGACGAAAGTGTCAAAACAGCCGTGTTGTGGAGGTTGTTAAATCAGGTGGCAGACTTCTAAGACGACGGTATTCAAAAGCGTACGATACGTATTGGTGGAAATTATGTAGAAAAATACATTAAAGTACAGGCATGCATGTAATAATTAAATTGTTATGATTACGTAATTTCCAAGTTTTTATTGAATGTCAAAATGATTTACTATCATGATATTCATTTTTTTTTGTAAAATTGCCCCACTACTTAGTTTGTTATAATTATTAATTACAAAGATCGAACACTTAGAAAAAATTCCAACTGACGACGTCTTCTAGCAAATCGTGCCAGACGTGCCACTGAACGAACAATGCGAACCTAATGAAATTCTTTTTGTTGCAGACCTTTGTTTTTGTTTTTTATTTTGGAATATGGGGTTTTTCTTTATTTCAAAATGCTACTTTTTTTTAAAACACGCCTCGTATAGTAACGACTGAAAGTGTATACCTGACGTATCCCTTCCTGGGAGGATAATCCTTATGGTAGACGGAATGGTTGAGGATCATCTTCTCGTCACCCGTATCCAGCCACGACCTCTGCAGCACGAAGTCGCGGTTCTTGAGCGGCGCCGGGCAGGACACTGTATACCAAGGAACAGGTTATAAAAAAACATGCCAGTGCTATTAACAAGCATTGATAGCAGTAGAACTTCTTGCAAAGGATTTCTTCCAGGGAAGTACTGCCAACATACCTCGATGACGACCTCTGTAGCCCCAGAATACTGTGTGCGCAGGATGAGGAGGTCCCGGGTTCGATTCCCATTAGGGTGAATTTGAATATTAACGGTCTGAGTGTCCTAAGAAGTGCCCCGAATGAATTCCGTTGCCCTGGTACTCAAAATACAAGGAATTTCCTAGTTTGAGACCAGACAATTGGTATGATAGTCTGGCATGTTGTTACGTTATACTTATTTTTACCGCCAAGAAGTAATATGAGCATTACTGCGTTCCGGTGTTGAAGTGTATGGGTGCTAGTGCAACTGCAAGAACATGAAACTTGTCAACTTATGTGGCAGGGTGGCGGGCGCTCTCGCAACGCTCCTCAAATCTTTCATTACCATAATAAACATTTATTACTAATTTATTTCTTTACATAAAATCAATTAATTACACAGACGTTTCCTTGTAAATATAGATAGATAGATAGATAAACAATTTATTTAGTGATATAACACAAATACAGATTAAACAGAAAAGAAAAAACATAACATGATTGTCGTAACAGTGAAAGGGCGCTGACTCAGCGTATGCCAAAATTTCCTAAGGCACTGGTTTTCAGTCAGGATCAATGCGAGGGATTAAGTTATTTGTAAGCAAAAATATAACGACTATGCGTTAAGTTATACATTGAAATAATATACATAGGAAAGTGTAAATATTGTATCAAAAACAACCTATTTTACGTAAGTGCATGGGCAAGTGTGAATATAAGTACAGCTGTAAGAGTAAATTATGATTGCAAATAGGTTTCAGTGTTGTACAATGTATTTAGTATATATAATGTGAATAGATCAAATCAAAAACAGAATTCCGTTCTAGACAGTCCACGGAAAAGAATACAAACACACTACACAAATTTTTGAAATGAGAATATGCGTTGCCGGTACAGTTTTTGAATTTGGGTTTGGATGTCTCGTTGCGTATAGGTCGTGGAATATTATTCTAGCTCTTTGAAGCCGAGTATTTGAAACTATCCCGAAAAGCTGAAGTTCAATGTTATGGTACCATAAGTACACATGATCGGTCATAAAGGTACACTTTATGTCCGAGGGTATCGAGCGCGTGAGTGTGGCAGTGAGTCTCTCTCTACACCGGGGTGAGTAAAGTCTTAACGGGATCCTATAAGCCGGCACCAGTGGGTAAGGGTGCATACACAGGTTTTTGGTTGGCCTTTGAGGATCTATCGGGCGAGCTTGTATCGCCGGGTGGATCAACGGGGAGAGTCTCACATAACCCCGCCAAGTCACCGCCCGCGGCGGGGTATGCGTAACGCATTTTCCTGTGTATAAAAAAATGGACGTCTCAGATCTTTGCAATTTAAAGTTCTGAGTGTCATTGCAACTGTTATGTGTAATTGGGTAAGAGTGTTGGTCATCACCAGGCACACGACTTGTTTGTCCCGTTACTGTATCATCATCAATTACGCAACAGGGTAAAATCGGGATAGATGCCGCAGTGGGATAAGATAAGGAAAACTAACTTCCCCAAATCGCAACAAAGAATAATTAGTTCAAATAAGGAGTATATACACCACTCATCAAAGTTCCTGTAGGGCTTCGTGTGGAATAGACGCCTTTAGCTTGTGCATGCGTTTATCTCCGCGACGAACACGACAAACAGTTCAAAATTTCAGTCGCAAGTATTTACTGTCGCATAACTTTGTAAGTTATAATAAATTCCGTTTTATTCTTATTATAACTATACACTGGTTCATTAACTATGCACCCAAATGTCCATAATTGCTCTTTGTATATAGCTTAGTTAATAATAAAAGTGCGTCTATCCATATCGAATAGGATAGTCGCCTCGATTTTTCGGGGTATAGGTGCCCAAAGGAAAGATAAGAAAGTTAGGAAAAGAAAATAAAATAAATACATTATTTTAGTGAAAAAGACTTATTTCTTAGTGAGAAAGAAGTATATGATAATAGTTTTAAAGTGAAGAAAAGTACCAAAAAGACAAATTATTCGCAGTTCAAACAGGGAACAATTTTGTATAGAATGTTTTCACAGCTACAATAATCTCAGTACAGAGTACTAAAAACCCCACCTCAAAAGTACGTGGAATTACGTTTATTTGCCAAATTTTATTGAAATATCCCCTAGTTCGCCCCTATACAGGACTTGACACAGGAGATAATAAAAATCAGTTCTCACTACTCAAAGTATATTGAGAGAAAAACGCCTTGAATTAGAAAATAGCAAAACCAACCACTAAAATAATTGCTCTTAAGTAAAATTTAAAAACTATTTATAAAAATGGATCTTCATGCGCGAACAGCCACCCTTAGAGGTGGATGATTTTCTTCAAAATGAAATGTGACCACTGTGGAGGTACCCTTTTTCAAACAAAAAAGAATCATGAAAATCGGTTCACAAATACCGGAGTTATCGCGTAACATACATACAAAAAAAAACATACAGTCGAATTGAGAACCTCCTCCTTTTTTGGAAGTCGGTTAAAAATATGAAGTGTAGTAATAAGTGAGTTAACTAAACTAACCCAGCGATCCCGCTAGCTATGTAAAATATGTCGCCCTTCTGCCACCCTTCACCCCAGCACGCATTAATTAATTTGTTGCATGCAACTATGTATGATAGCTAAGTAAGCTAGCTTCGTTCGCGGTGTGGCCTGCGCTTCATGTGAACTATCTCCGATATGCAATTTTCATCGATATTATTCTTCGCCGTTTAAGCAATTTATTATAAATAAACAAAACTGCAATAATTCTAAAAGTTTTATTATTCTCTCGGGATCTGCTAAATAAGCTATCCCTGTTTTAATAGCTCTTAACAGAGGCCTTGAGAGATATATATGAGCATCTCTTTCACAAGAAGCTCTATAGCTTCTTGTGAAAGAGTTCTTCCAGGGAAGTATTGCCACCTAAATTATTTCTGCCGCCAAGCAGTAATGTGAGCATTACTATGTGCTGCTTTTGAAGGGTAATGCTGGTAAAATTATAGGCACATGGCATTTGTCAACTGTCGTAGCGTGTATGTCGTATGTTGTAGGGTGACGGGCGCAGTGGCAGTGCGCCTCAAATGTTTGCAGTTTAAAGCTCTGATTGGCAATGCAACTGCTATGGACAGGCGTGTCAGTCATGGACACACATATATAACCCCAAACTCACGAGGGAAATAAATGTATGCCATACCACTACTTCTGGCCCGGGAATCGAACTCGGGATATCTGCGTGACACACCAGATTGGCAACCGTTCGACCACTGAGGCAGTCATTTCATTTATTTCCTAATCTGAAACCAATTACACAGGCGTTTCCTTGTAAATATAGATAGATATTCATAAAGATGATTCAAAAAGTGAGCCGTAGGGTAAATAAAATATTTTTTGTTGCGTCGCCGAAGTGACAACAAAATGATTCGCAAAAATTTTCTCTCGAATCTTAAAACCTAGTACAAAAGGAAAAGTTATTAGATTGAGGCCTCAAAGATGTTGAAACCGAAATACGTGAGCGTAGAAAATGCGTGCGTATTATATGACAGTAATATGCTGAAAATGTCGTTTTGAACATCAATTTAGGAAATAGAAATACATAGGTATATGTATTTCTCCAGCAAGCACATAGAGAAATTCTTAACGTTTGCTACTCGCTCCATAGCCCAATTGGATCGATCTTCGTATCAATTATAAACACAAACTAATGGAGTACTTTCACAAAAAATAAACAGATAAATACATACATACTTCATGTCCTTATCCCATAAGGTTAGGTAGAGAAAACAACCATTTGCTACGGTCCTGCCACACATCTTTCGGCTCATCAAGACGCACACGCATAGTCATTTTCATACGTCCTTTTTTTAATAGTTGCATTGCCCCAGGGAACTTTAAATCACTGAGAGACACGTCCACGGACATAAGTTAACAAGTCCCAGTTGCCTGTAATTTCACCAGTACTCTTACCCTTTAAAACCGGAACTCAGAAATGCTCACATTGCTTACCGCTTACCAGCACAAATAGTTAAGGTGGCAGTACTTCCTTGGCCGAACTCTTTCACAAGGAGCCCTACTGCTACTAAATATATATATTCCATGTTCTGCACCACACAAAGCCCGTCTTGCAAATGCCTCCAAATCCGGCAGGCTTACAGGTGACAAAACATTTCAACTTCTAATTACTTTGTCTCAGCTCTATTGCACAAATTCCCACATTTTAGCGACTCTAATTTCCAACAAAGGAGCTTTGTAAATGTCTTTTACTGGTGGATAGAGACGGCTTCATTGCGTTTCTTCGTTACGTTTACAGAGAAAGTTTGTTTGAAACAAGTGTTTCACGTTTTTATGCTTTTAAAACTTGTTTTTTGTTGGAACTGAACTACACATATCTACGATCTTAATGTCGATGAAATTATAGAACATTGAACATTTGTCTACCTTCGTGATCAAGTGGCACAGTGGTTTTCATGGTGTCACCCTTTCTGAGGTCAAAGATTCGATCCCCGGCCGGATCATTGTAGAAAAACTAAGTATTCTAGGGTTTTGGTGTTTGTACCCACGTCACACCCCGGATACTCCATACAACGGTCGAAAGTTATTTACCTACTACTACTACATACAGCAAAGCGCTATCTGCACATGCGCAAATTTAAATTAATTAATTTAAATTTTACTGGACCAATCATTGTTGCATGCATTTGTTGAATTTGAAGCTGTGCGGCATGAGTGAGGCTATGATATGAGGTGAGCTGTGAGGTGGGACATTTTTATGACATGAGGTGTTGTGACAAACTAACCAAGCGAGTGGTACAAACCAGTTGCCTCGTGTATGGGTAACTCAACACTACTACACATCCCTCAAGGCCTCTATTAAGGGTTATTAAAACAGCGATAGCTTATTTGGGAGATCCCGAGAGAATTGGTATGACAGAAAAACCGAAACTGAAGCTCTGACATGAAATTGACGATATCTATATACAAATCCAAAATTCCATATCCCGAACAACTATCATCAGAAACCTGCATATACAGGTAGGTAGCCGGTTAACGATATTGCAGCACTCAGCCCCTGCAGGTATACAACTGTAGAGAAGCAAACTATACACGTTTGCGGTATTCCACTTGAAAACATAAAGCTTGAACAAGTTGTTTAAAAAAATAAAATGAATGATGATAAGAACTAGTGCAATAACAGAGTTTGTAATGGTATAATTCAATGGTATAAGTGGTCTGAAGGCAGAGCAAGTGAGGCTTACTCTGTGTGTTGAGGATCCACCAGCACAATGGTTTTGTCACGGTTTGATATATCCCCATTTCATTATATTGTCTCTACATCGGTCAACTTGAGACATGGGACTATTCAAGGATTTCCATATTAGTGCAACTCGTGCCCGAAGGGAAAACTTTCGGATGGGGCAATAAAATTTGGCGTTTGGAAAAACCCTAGTGAAACCAAAGCATTTGCCATTACATCGTAACCGTGGTATAACATAACCACATGCGATTAAAAGTATCGTGAAAATAATAAGTAGGTACTACACGAAACAAATTGTGTATATTATGTGAAATGTCTACTATTTAAGTAAAAAAGCCCTGGTTGCCTAATGGTTGCACTACAGTCTCTCAAACAGAGGGTAGTGTGAGGGTTTCAGAATTTGTGTGCGGCTTGTGTGTTTATCAGAGCTTTTCGGTGAAGGGAAATATTGTGAGGAAACCTACACACATCTACAAAGCAATTTAATGATTTTGTGTGAAGTTCCGTGCAGTGCAGCTTCCTGCCATTTTGCAGTTCAATGGCTTCAAGGCAGAAGCGTAAATTCGATTCGTATGTTTCCAGTTGAGTGAAATGTGCATCCAGAGAGGCAAACAATACTACAACTCTCTGCTCGTCTAATAGTTAGAAGAACTAGATATTCAATATATGAACAATTCGTTGCTACATTTTGTGTTCATTAAAACTAGAACGGAATTGTTCAACATTTCGTTATTCCAAATCAAATCAAACCAAATCATTTATTTGCATGTCACAGTTACAGTACATTTTTAAATACAATTTAAGGTGTTATGTCATTGTATAGGATCATGTGACGCCCTGTAAGGGCATGGCAAATTACAGAGGGGCATTTATAAATTATACTAACAAATTTTTATCAACAATGTCGATGCATGCATTCAATTCGTTATGATGTTAATACGTACTTAAGCTATTAATCATTCAATATTAAAAAAATAAATAATAATAATAATAAAAATTAACAATTCATAAAAATATCAACATTATCATATTTATGGAATGAAAAGTATTTACAAAATAAAAATAGGTAATAGTCTTAATATTATTAAATAAATGTCAAAGGCAATTTCATATTATAATTTTAAATAAATTCCAGCAATGTCGTATTATTATTATTATTCCTCCAAATATTTATCACAGAAATATTCATTTATATTGTAACAGCATTTTTTATTTTAATTAACAGGTTTTCCAATGTTTTATCAAAGTCAAAGTCTTTTACTATGTCTCTAATGTTAATTGGTAGATTATTGTACAATTTTATAGTCATATAATGAGGACTTGACTAGTTGCAGATTGGTAAGGGTAGTTTCTAATTTGTGTAGATTTCGATTATTCCTTTTTACGGTTGCTATTGTCGCATAGAGATTTTTATGTTTTCTTACAAATTTACAAGACTCGAGAATGTATATTGAAGTTACAGTGAGAATGCCATGTTTTATAAAGAGAGGTTTGCATGATACCATTTGGTTGACGTTTGTTAATATTCTAATATACTTTTTTTGCAATGTGAAAATATCTTTAATATCTGAACTGTTACCCCATAAAATTATTCCGTACGAGATTATCGAATGAGCTTAAGCATAGTATGCCGACAGAGAAGTTTCAAAATCGGTTACTTTTTTCAAATTTCTTAGAGCATAAATGAATGACGACAGTTTGCGGGCCAGTGTTTGTATATGTTGCTTCCAAGTGATAGTGGAGTCGATTTCAATTCCCAATAAAGTTGCGGAACTAACAGTTTGTAAAGGTGTATTGTTGTGCTTATTATTTCTAATTCGTTTTTTTGAAATGGTCGAAATTGTATTAGTTTTGTTTTATTTATATTTAGTTGTAAATTATTCATTTGAAGCCAATGTGTCAATTTGTCAAGTATTAAATCTAGTTTTTCAGATAATTCAACTGTGTTGGAGCAAGAAGTTACGATAGATATGTCATCCGCAAAGAGAGTGCACTGATCTTTCAAAATGTTTGGGAGGTCATTTATGTATATTAAAAATAATGTACAACCTAGAACACTTCCTTGCGGTATAGAACCTTTGATAGGGATTGAATCAGATCTAATATTTTTTATTTCGTAGTCGTTGTTTTTTGTACTGTTGCCCTCCACTAGCTGTTGTCTATTACTAAGATAAGATTTAAACCAATCATGAGCGATTCCACGGATTTCTGTTGCGTATTCCCTTTTAATACTGCCACCTTACATTTTATTTCTGCCGCCAAGCAATTATTGCTCATCATAATGTTTTGAAGGGTAAGCGTGCTTGTGAAATTACAATCAAATGGGACTTGTCAACTTATGTCTCAGGGTGACGGGTGCTCAGATCGTTGCGTTTATATCTTGGTGGCACTGGAACGGGCAAGCGCGTCGATTACCACCACGCGTACGAATTGTTCGTCCCGTCACATAGTATCATAAAAAATATATGACAGCATTCAGATATACAGAATCTCTTTCATTACAATTCAATGCAAATTTCAGAACGAGGTAGTTGACATACTATGGATCTGTGACGGTATTGCACATTGCACACCACGGTCTAGATACGAATCGTACCTACTTGTGTTCACACTTTACTTTATTCATAGATCTCTCATGCGTTCATTTGCGGCGGAAGTGGGCCAAACCTCCCCCTCTTTCCATCGTAGAATGCACCAATCTCGCTTAGGGTTTGGATAATGGAAAACCATACACGTTAAGTTCACTCAAAATTTTCAACTTAGGTACTTGTTTTAGGTACTATTGCATATCAAGGTACTATAAGTTAATCCTTTATCGTTTAACTAGATACTAATTGTAAATACTTACTACTGCTATTCTAGTTGCAGAGTTTTTTCGAAATTATATTGAAAAAGAAACGCAGATTTGTTGGATTGTAAATAGAAGTCCTAACCACTAAACATTAAAGCGCATTTTGATTGAAGACCATTCGCACTATGATTTTATTCTATGGAAAAAAATATTAGTCATTCAGTAATATTATGCACACTATGCGTTACGTTTTAAAACTTAAAACCGAAAAAACACGTCGCAAATTGTATTTTATTTTTTGTTAAATAACAAAAAAATGACTACGATTTTTTTTATAACATCAAGTCCTCACTTGATATGACGAACAAGTTGTACGCCTGATGGTAAACTACATGCCTGTCCATAACAGTTGTAGTTGCACTCAGACCTTTAAATCGCAAAGATCTGAGGGGCACTGCCACTGCGCCCGACACCCTGAGACAAGTCCCATGTGCCTGTAATTTCACCAGCACCCTTACCCTTCAAAACAAGAACACAGCAATGCTAACACTACTGCTTGGCGGCAGAAATAGATAAGGTGGCAGTACTTCCCTGGACGAACTTTTCACAAGGAGCTCTACTGCTACTAAAATTACCATACCATTTAACATATGCCGGAGCTTAAATATGCGAAATATTAGCACACAATATTTGACGTTTATGTCCTTCATAGTCGTCACCGTACCTGGGTAGATAAAACTCTGAATTCTTTATTATACTCACTGGCGTAGTATCCAACATCATTGTTGACGTTGATGTTCCCAGCGTCTTCTGCCGCCAGCATGTGCGTATCCCACACCGATCGGTATTCGGGATCGTGGAGAACGTCGTAGAGAGCGTCTGGCTCCACGTCCTCGAATTCGGCCACCACCTGGCACAAAAAGAGAGATATGGAGTGTTAAATAGGACTTACGCGGATAAAACGTGGGCTCTGCGCGTCGCCGCCGTCGTTTTATTTCAGAACCTCGTATATTATGTCGATATTGGATATCAATATATTGGAGGTAATCTCTAGTTTGAGACTACGTTATTACGGTGGCACGTATTTGTTTATTTGCTTACTTATTTCACCTCATATAAATACTTTCGTGGGCCATTCGATGTATTCTCAGTTAGAACCAGTTGATAAAAGTTGTTTTGAGTTTTTATTCTATTTAACGACGAGAAACAATATTTTTCGATACAATTTTTAATATATTTGGAGCAATCCCAAATGAAAAAAAAAAGAATCCAATTAATATTAGTAAAAAATAAGAAGTCCCTTAAAACTCTTAACGTATTATAAAAGATCAAAGGAACTCGACTATTAAAGTAGGTAGTGCCAAGGGCAAATTGATTCACCACGGATTCTGAGAAGGGTCTTAGTAACCTCGTCCAAAAGTAATTTGTAAAAGTTGTATTGGCAAACGACTTATCGACTCATGAAAAGCGGTGGTGTAATGGAAAATTGCTTTGCTTATGGTTTGATAAGTTTTAAGATAGATACGTAATAGTTCACTTTCACTTTGACTGATAGGGTTAAAAATTTGATTTTCCACAAATATCATGAAAAACTGCTACTTAGCAGAAAAAACTAGTACGGTTTTCAGAAAAATAAATCTACAAAAACACGCTATAATTAACTTATTAAGAACTGTATGGGAAAGTATCAATAATAGGGAAGCAGTATCTACAATCTTCATGAGCATGACGAATGATTATGTGTCACATAAATTACTATTAGACAAAATATACGAGTACGGATTGAGAGGATTTGCATATGATCTAATAAAACCATACCTATGTACAAAATCGCTAACAGGAAACACATAGGTATTACATAAAAGGACATAGACACGGGAAAAGTAGCTAAATCAAATATAAGAATTATAGAGTACGATACACCGCAGAGTGGTATTCTAACTACTCTTATTTTATTCTTTATATTAACGACTTGCCAGATCACGTTCAACAAAAATGGTACTTTTGTTGGAAAGTCTCTATGGAATAATTATCACTATGTATAAATTTAATGAATACGAAGAAATTTTAAATAATGCACTAAGTGATACTATAAAATGGCTACAATTAAATAATTGTGTAGTAAATTTGGATAAAACTAAGTTTAAGCAATTCTATACGCCACATAAAATTTAAGTAGTTATAAATTATGATGAGACAAAATTTTTGGGCATAATGATTGTCACTCCGGCTCATAATTGAGAATTATATTACAAAAAACGGCTCTTTGTGCTTATCACGCATAGCCTCTACTTTGCCATATGGACTGCTGCTCTGGGGAAACGCTCGTGCAACACATATTTTGCCACTATTTAAAACTCAAAAGAAATGTGTCAGGGCCATGTTTGGTGTGGGTCAACGAGAGAGTTGAGTTACCTTACTTTAGGAAACTGAAGATATTTAGCCCTATAGCCGACCTACATTTATGAAGCTGTATTTTTGTCAAACAAAATCTAGGCAATTTTCATTTAGTCAAAACTAGATATCCTATTTCTACACAGGGACAGAAATAAAAATAACCCAAACAACTTCATTTTACAGTGGAACGATGATGTATTAGCATATTGTAGACAATTTAAAATGAAATTGCATAATTTGTTATTTGTTCAGTGCTACTACAATATTGATACTTTTTTACTTGATAATAAAATTTAGCTAATGTATCTTATATTTTTTACGTCTTATTTTTTTTTATAAAATCCGACTTTTATTTATGCTATTGTTTAAATTTTACTTTATATGCATGCTACATTAAAAGTAATACAAGAAATGTGTAAATATTGTACGATTTAATGTACCTAATATATTATTACATCTACATTGTTAACTACTTTTCAGCGAATAAATATCCCGTATTTTAGGAAATTAACATTAGCAGCGTCTTCCTTCCATGCTTAAATGTGACCGCCTATAATCAGTGGCGGTTAGAAAAAAAGCAGTTGAGCTGGTGTTGTTTTTACGATATTCAAACCAGCAACAAGTCAGACAGTCCCCTTAATTAATAGATATAACCGCAGGTTGTAGACATTTGCAATACAATCCTTAATATCGTGCGACAGAAAATCTTAAACCGACAGTAGTACCTGTGACTAAGCTGATTCAGTGGTTGGTGTGACAACACTGATTGCTGCTTTGGTGAAAAAAACAGGTACGGTAACCACGCGGGTTATATACAGTCAAACAACTCTACCAATAAATAAAAATACTTGTTTCTAAACGGCGAACGGAAAAAATGTAGCTAGTTTTATGTTCTATATTCAAAATCAACACAAAAGCGAAAAAACGGTTATTAAAAGTTTACTGAGATAAAATTGACGCTCGAATACACGTGAAAAGAATCTGAACGAATAGTCGATAAAATACATTGTGCCTTCCCTCGCGAAGGCTTCATAACTTTATTTGTTATGCTAAGAGATAGCTTTTGACACTTTTCATTTTTTATTAATAGCATCAAAAAAATCTGATAAAATACGTTCCTCCTGCTTTCCTGCCTGAAAAATAATGGAACAACAATCTCGCTTAAAAAGGAAGATACCATTATGATATTATTTCAATGCTTTTAGACTCTTTTACTCAGTCGTAATAAATTAATGGCTTCGTAAACCAAATCCAGGAATAATGTTACAGAATATTCTGCGTAACGTGAAAGTGTAAAAGCAATAAGGTAAAAATGTCAAAATAATCGGTGAAAATGCCAGAGCGATTGGGGTAACTTCCGGGAGCAATTTCGCACTTTTCCTTCGAAGAAAAGACTGCATCAATCGTGTCGTATCTCTTGATCTTTAATTTTCTTAATGCTTGGCTCTTACTTTAGATGTAATCTTAGTGGAGCTAAGCAGTATTGAAGAAAGCACTAACTAAGCGGGTTAATATACTATTGCGATGGATAATCGGCACGTTGTGTCGTAGTTAATACATTCCTATCTAAGACATAGAAAGCTTATTAAGTACCTGTACCGAACCGTAGATAATCGAATAAAGAAATAATTGTGTAATTTTCGGCCGTTTTCAGTGGCCATTTTTAATATTTAAGTATTCAAGTAAATTATCGTGAAATATTAAGTTACATTTCAAGGTCGCCGCCGTGGCCGATGCATGGCAGGTTCCATGGACACACACATAGACACACAAATTATACCAACATTATGTAGGCCAAATATAAAGGAGAAATATCCCGGCCCGGGAATCGAACCCGGGACCTCTACTTGGCAGACCAGCTTAGGAACCGTTCAACCACCGAGGCAGTTGATGCATGTTATAGAAGTATTTCATGATAATATTCGACAATATGTAATAATAAATATTGCATAAGGTTAAGCATTTGTTGATTAAATCCAAACGCACCTGCAGACATACATACGTAGCAACCATTAGGTATGTTGAAATTTTGATTAAGCTGTGGAGGCTCTTCGTTTATATTAGTTGACATGAGATGTCTGCAAAATGCACATGTTGTTTGTTATAGCCAGTTGCATCAAGCGATTTCAAATTTGTGATGGACTCCCTGTATATAGGAACTATTGAAGTACTCTGTAACGCCCCTGCTCCCCCACATGCTGTGAATATGGCTAATGAAAATGATCCACAGCGCTAATAGAAAGGCTCTATTTAACCCGGGATGTTAGACTACAGAAGAAGCGAGTGACATTCGTATAAGTAAGTCGTATAATAATTTAGGACGATAAAAGCTGTCGCTGCGTCAGTCATATATCTCGTACATGGCGAATTACGATCTCGGTTATAGGAAATTGTGTAATAAGACTGCCTGGCGCCTTATTTGCATTTGAAATAAACGACTGAAATTGAATAGAATTACTATATACATATAATACGTATGTTTTATTCGAACTAAAGAAGATTTTATTGGCACCTACGTTAACGGTGAAATGTTTAGAATTTAAAATAATTACGTCTTTATGTTATTTTGAAAAACCGATCTTAAATTTTTCTTTCTTTCTCTCTTTCCCTATGTTTGTTACATCTATTTGCCAAATTATTGAAATCGGTTGAAGTGGGTGAAATCCAATAAACGGTATTCATCCTATAATTTGCCACCCTTAGAGGTGGGATATTTTCTTCAAATTTGAATTGGACCACTACTGAGGTACCCTTTCCAACAAAAAAAGAATCATCGAAATCAGTTCACAAACGTATTATTCCGACGTTTGTGAATCGCGTAACATACACGCAAAGAAAAAAACAGTTAAATTGAGAACCTCCTCCTTTTTTTCAACTGCCTCCGTGGCCGAACGGTTACCATACCGGACTGCCACGCAGAGGTACCCGGGTTCGATTCCCGGGCCGGGAGAAATATTTGTATGGCCTACATTTATTTCTCTCGTGAGTTTGGGTGTAATTTGTGGTTGTCTATATGTGTGTCCATGGCACCCGCGACACAGGGTTACCCTAGTGCGGGGCTATGTTGAGTGTGTGCGTTATTATTATTATTATTTTCCAGTCGGTTAAAATACCTGACTTCTTCGATTTCTTGTTTTCTAACTTTGATGATCGGGATTATGAAGTCATTAATTTAGAGATGAGCCGTTCTTATAGTCATGATTTTTTTATGATATTAGCGACGAGACGAACAAGTCGTGCACCTGATCATAACAGTTACAGTGCCACTCAGAGATTTAAATCACTGGGGTACTGCCACTGCACCCGTCACTTTGGAACATAAGTTGACAAGTTCCATTTGCTCGTAATTTCACCAGCACCTTTAACCCTTCAACACCGGAACGCAGTTATGCTCACATTACTATTTGGCGGCAGAAATAGTTAAACTGGCCTATTTCTACCTCCCTGTTTTGTTTCACAAGTAACTCTATTGCTATTGAAAACTGTCGAGTATTTTCAGGGTCATATTTTTTTACCAATTCTTCTCACGACTCATTCATTTGCAAAAAAGTTAAAGAAATATACAGAATTACAAAGGTAATACGAGTAAAAGTCTACAAACAAGCAAACCACTGGCCCTTAAACAAATAAAACCACCCTAAACAAACTGCTAAAACAACAGCGCTCGTGCTGACACAAAACAACAAATATTTAACGTCGTCGCTGTTTAAAATAAAAATCAATACTTCTCACCTACTCATATGTGCTAAATTAGTGGTCGGTAATTAGAAATTATATCAACATGCAAGCAAAGCTTTAACTCGGATGATTAACTGTTGACTTGTTTCTAACCAAAACAAAAATAAAAGATTTTTTTGAATCGAATTGCAGTCTACAGGTTGGCGTGGAATGTGTAGTGTAAAGTCACTAAATCTCCGTCTTGTCGGACACAGCAACTGACAAAAGCGATAAAGAAAAAGTGACATAGAAATTTCAACAAGCACTTTTCAAAGAGATTAAAACGGTGGAAACAGACCTTGACTGTTCGTAGAGCGCCGTGCGCGGCATCCTCGGACCAGACTTTGACCCCGTCTTTCTCATATTCCACGTTCCAGCCGTCTTCTTTTGCTAGGAGGGTTTTTAGGGTTTCGAAGTCTGAATCGTCAGCGACTCGCGCTTCGCCGCGCGCCCAACCCGCGCCGCCCATCCGCGCGCGAACATCACAACGCGACTGCAGGGCTTACCGCTCAACTGGCAATCCCCAGTCGATTTTACACGCATGCGTACTGCACACCGCCATTTTTATTTCACTTTTCAATTTTTTTGTATAATTCGAAAATTAATCGGCCAGTGGAGAATTTCAGACGGGAACAGAAATTTCTAGTGACGCTATTATATTGCCAATACTAAAGAGCGTTAAGGCAATATGACACTTACGTCAACAAAAGCACATAAATTATAGACCGTAAGATAAAGTTTACATGTGTAAAACATAGTATATGATAGTTTGTTACTCCCACACTTTGACATTAACCAGAGCTGTTCAAAGAAAAATATACAAAATGTTCCACATTTTGTTTCCTAAATAGCATTATTAATATTTCGTACTATTAGCAAAAAAGTGTTGTATTTCTAAAAGCGACATTTTTGAGTAATTAAACAAAATAAATAAGAAAAAAAAGTACTAAATAAAACTAATATAAGAGTTTATTCATTGTATCATATTTGCCACCAGCGAAACGACATTATAATAATAATATGTTTAAGGTGATACGCCCAATATGCAAATAATTGATATACAAACGATCTATTTTCAAGGTATAACAATTTTTAATGTAATTTTAAAGAATTTAATCACTCACGGGATATAATTAATAAGTGCTATAACAACAAAAGGTAACAAACCTTCAATATAACAAAAAGTTGGATAACATTAATAAACCTTAGATAATTAATGGTGTAAGTATTAGCAGTATAATACGAAATAATATAAAACTAGCCTAACCTATGGGAAGTATCAAGTGTACACGCAGATCACAGGATGTCCTACGAATATATAATAATGGGCTTAGGATGCTTCTGGGGTTACCCCGATTCTGCAGCGCATCAGGTATGTTTGCCGAAGCGTGCGTTGATAGTTTCCAAACTATCCTGCGCAAACAGGTAGCTTCAGTGATGCAGCGCGTGCGGGACAGCACCAGCGGTCTCCTGTATACCATTCTGGAGCGGGTAGATTGCCCGTTAGCATGGCACTGGAATGCGTGTCACTTGCGTTCCAGAGTCGCTATGTATAACATTAAACAAATTAATTATTTAATATATAATTTCATCGTTACTAACATAGAATAACAAAATTGTTACTAACATAATAATCTCAGTACAGAGTACTAAAAAAACCGACCTCAAAAGTACGTGAACTACATCTACTTGCCAAGTTTAATTGAAATCGGTTACAGGAAAGTGCGCAAACCCGGATTCATCCCCTAGTACGCCACTATACGGAACTTGACACAGGAGATAATAAAAATCGGTTCTCACTACTCAAAGTATATTGAGAGAGAAAAACGCCTTGAATTGGAGAATATCAAAATCAACCATTATAATTAATTAATTGCTCCTTATAATAAAATTTAGGCGCTATTTATAAAAGTGAATCTTCATGCGTGAACAGCCACCCTTAGAGGTGGACGATTTTCTTCAAAATGGGATCACTATGGAGGTACCGTCTTTCCAACAAAAAAAGAATCATCAAAATCGGTTCACAAATACCAGAGTCATCGCATGATATACATACAAAAAAAATACAGTCGAATTGAGAACCTCCTCCTTTTTTCGAAGTCGGTTAAAATATGAACACTAGTTTGAAATAAAAGATAATTATTATTGTTATTATACTCTACTACATTAATACTGACAGTTACATCAATCGTTTCTTATACCCCGTGATATAATGAGTGTGTGCGTTATTATTATTATTATATTTTATACCATGCAAGAATATTTCAAATGTCTCTAAACCATAAATTAATTATATCCGTTGAGTGTTATTTCAACAAAAAAAATATCATATACACATAAATTAAAATATTAATTTAATAATAATCTATTGTTATGAAATTAATCGCATAACTAATAAATCATTAACAGATACTTTAAATGTCATAAACTAATAAGCATAAGGTCAAAATATTCGTCAACTTTATAGAATGGATTTTCAATTAAATTTTTTTTATCTTTGTTTTGAATTATAATTCGGGCAATTCGGATATAGTCGGTGGTAGTTCATTGTATAATTTTATCTTTAGACAGTAACCTTGCTTAGCAGTTCTTTCTAATCTCGTTTTTGGTACTATTAGTTTGTCTTTGTTTCTAGTATTGTAAGTGTATACATCTCTGGTTCTTTTTAAGTTATTCTTCTTTTTATGTACTTCCTTCAAGGAATTACAAATAAACAATGATATTACTGTTATGACCCCCAATTTAACAAAAAAGATTTTTGCGGATATTCTTCTTTGGATACCACTGATTATTCTTATCGATCTTTTCTGTTACACCAGAACGCGTTTTACATCGGCGCCGTTGCCCCAAATTGTCACAGCGTAATTTATTATCAAATGAATGTATATACAACACAGTCAACAATGTATTTTTGTCTATTAATGGCTTTAATTTAAGAAGTGCATAATTTCCAACTGCTATTAGATATGAGTTTGATGACTCAAAGTATTATCAATAGCATAGCCTAGAAATTTTGTATTTGATATAAAATCTAGCGTACGTTGTTTTCCGGAGCAATATTTCATAAGTTGTTTTCTCTTTATTGAGTAGTATACCGTTAGCAGTAAACCATTCGTCTAATAGGCTAACTACGTCATCAACTTCTTGTGCCATAACTTCCCCTTCCTTATCTTTTATCCCGACATGGGTGTTATCAGCAAATAAATTTACAAAGCTCCACTTAGGCAAGCTGTTTGGCAAGTCATTTATATATATTAGAAATAATTTTAATTTAATTTAACTTACCCACCACTAACACTAATTTAATTTACCCACCTACTACTGCAAAAAATATCAATGGACATGTTCAGCTGACGAAGTGGGATGCTAACGAGGTGTTAGCAAGACCAAAGAAAATACTCTTATAGTTTATTTAAAAACGAAAACAAAGTATGAGATGTGTACGAAACAATGACAAATTAAAGAAAAGACGCCAAAAACAAGTATATATTAAAATTGAACATTGACTCCACTTGGCTATGATGACCCACTGAAGACGAGGAATGCTTATAAAATATCGGATCGAACAATATCGAACACTTGGCGTATGCCTATTTACCTAAAAAAAAAAGGTGGTGAATGCTACTCGTATTGTCATTTCCTTAGAGGATATTACGGAAATGACAATACGAGTAGCATTCACCACCTGGCTCATGTGATTTAAGTCTACGTGTCTATATTGTAACTTTGTATTTTATAACTGTTTTTAAAGATTCAACCAAAAACAAAGATCTGCAATAAGTACACAGAAAAATTCGTAAGGTCCGCTAAGTAAGGTTCGTTCTGTGACTTAGTTGGCATAGTGTCTGGCAAGGTTTGTTGGAAGACGTTGGTTCGAATCCAAACCGTGTTCGATCTTTGTATTAATAATTATTATAGCTAGAGGGTTAATTACACAAAAAAATAATTTAATATTATGATACGTACTAAAGCTTCAAATGTACCCTTAATAAAATGATTTAGTATGCACAATTAACGACACAAGGTAGGTATGGAGTACGTGGTTTATTATTATAGCAACTTTTACAGAGTACAAAAGATAGTCTACGGATTTTTAAAATTTTTTCATATATTATTTTTATAAATCGATACATCCAATGAACACTACGGCAACTTAATTTTTTGATCATTTTCTGTTATATTTGTAAACAGCCATATTTATTTACTAATATTATGCTCCATAAATTTTGTGGGGAAAAAAAAATAGAGAAACAAAAAACAAACTGAAAACAGAGCAAGTCTAAAAATTAATTTGTTAGTGTTGAATACTACGCCAACTTATTATAAATATAAATGTAGTATCAGTGCGAGAATGGCTGCTTTTCAGTTAAGAAAGAATAAATAGGTCGTCGGTTTAAATCCCTATGGCTGCATGCTGCTTTAACTTCTAAGTTATATGTATTTGAGAATATTTAGAACAATACCTCTCGCTAACGGAGATAACAAAAATATACAACTAAATAGTTCTTTTATATAACTAATAATTAATCTTAAAATACTTTACCTGTTATTACACTTTTCAACTCAGTCTGAAAATTTTGAAATATTTTATAACACAGTAATAGATGGTAATAACCTACATGAATTACTAATATTTAGTATACCTAAATCATCCGACCTTCAAAAAATATAATAACTGCTGTATATACTTCCAAGTTGATTAAGCGAGTCTGGTCTGCTGCACCTAATGACAGAAATCCGACGACAGCCGAACGAAACACGAAGATTGCCGAGATATATTAAGAAAATAGCTGTGAAAGTAGTAAGTACCTCTTTAGATAGCAAAGATATGAGGCACACCGCCACCGCGCCCGTTACCCTGAGACGTAAGTTGGCATGTCCTGTGTGCCTGTAATTTCATTAGATAAATTCCGCATGACATTGACTCAATCACTTTGCAAAAAATATATAATTAAATGAAGGATATATACTGATTACTTATAAAGTAAGAAATTACGGTTTCTAAAACTTTTCGCGATAGAAATAACACAAACTTACCTCGAAATTTTATAAGTAAACCGCTGTATTCAATAGGTACTTTTCATAGACCATAGACATATTTTTTTTATATCGACTGATTTAAACAGAACACTTATAGTATACGATATACATTTTTCAAAAGGCTGTAATTCCGTTTGCAAAAAAATTAATTCTGAAATAAAGCCAGTGTTCCTGACGCTCTACTCAAGCAAAATGAACCTTATTGGTACGGGAAAAAATAATTTTAATTCGAGCTGGTAGTATCGAGTCTTAAGTAGTAAAATGTTTGTCCTTCGGAACAGTCCAAGGGTTCGAGGTATGAGGCGAACCTCATATTGCCGTAACCGGGCTGCGCGACGCGGCGATACATTGGAACGAGCAATACAATATTGAAAGAAAAACTGAATAATTTTTTTAATATTATACATGGCGACTCTCGAACGCAAGTGA